CCATTTGACCTTAGAACTGAAGAAGCTTCTCGGATGAGAGGTGAAACGTCTTCAAGCAACTTAAAGAAGTCCAGACGCTTTTCTTTCCAAGCCTCTTTTGACTGTGGGCAAAGAAATTGCTCTGGAAGTCATTACGGATGTCTTTGAGGGAAAACACAGCTGTGGGTAACTCTAGACAGGCATTCAGGAATTCCAAAAGGTCATCATGAAGTTGTCTTTTTGGGTTTATAAGGATTTTTGCTCTCCAGTAACTTCAGGTACTCCAGGTTTCGGCGTGTGACCGCCTGGTTCTGGCGGATGTAGTAGGCCAGGTAGCAGATGAGCATGAAGAGCCAGAGGAACATGGTGACGAGTGTCACCACATCAGTGGTTCTCCTCACAGACAAACACAGATCCCAGTCCTCCATCAGCACAACCAGTGGTATCCCGACAGCTCCTGTAACACCACATCACACAGTGTCAGACCATAAATCAGTGTGTAGCCAAAAGTAAAGAACAAAATGGTACAAAAGAAGGAAAAATGATGTGTTGTGTGTTCTTTGTTCAGCACATCTGCTGAGAGAAAGCTTACCGAGGTTTGGGAGATCAGAGGTTGCACAGACAACTTCTGCTAGTGAGGTCGGGTCCAGATCCAACTGAGGCATGGACATCTAAACACAAACAGAAAGTTGTAATGACTTTGTGTGAACTACAAACACACATCATTGCATCTGTGCACACCTCCATCCTGCAGTCACAGTGCCAGGGGTTATGTGTGAGGTTGGCCTCAATCTGCAGACCGCCGAGCACCGGCAGCTCCAGCGTGGACAGGCGGTTGTACGACAGGTCCAAGAAAGTAAGCGAGTCCAACCCACGGAAACAACCGTCTTCAAGTGAGGAGAGCTGAGGAGGGCGAAACAGTATGATCCTGCTGTGTCTTACTGGTATTAAACTGGTGCATACTCTAAACTGGTATGAAGAGCTGTTCACTACCTGGTTATGTGACAGGTCGAGCTCATCGAGCAGGAACAGACTGGAGAACGTGTCGGCCGCCAGAGAGGTCAGCAGGTTTTTATTCAGAAACAGACGAGTGGTGTGGTTCGGCAGGCCGATGGGTACCTGAGCGCAGAAACACACCTGGATACTGTGAGCGCACGGATCCTGTCTGCTAAAGCTTTATGAACATCCTCATCCTGCCTGAGAACTTAAAGTCAGGTTTAGTTTCATTCTCGGGTTGGAGGTTTTCACAGGTCATTCAGAGGCTAAAGTCCACCTGAAGCTAGGAAAAGCAGCCACACACACGCACACACACACACACACAGACACGCACACAGACACACACG